AGATTCGGGCTGACGGAACAGCCTTCGGAGCAACAGCAGATGACTTCGCAATGGCAGGAACGGATGGCACAGCAGCCTTCGCAGCAAGAACACCAGAAACCTTCGGAGTGGGAACCGCATAAGCACGAGGTACAGCCCTCGGCGCGGGAGTCGCAGGAGGTACAGTCCTCGGTGGCGGATTCGCCGGCTCTCTCGGCACGGCCTTCGTCTTCGCCTTAGGTGGAGTCACAGGGGCCTTAGGGGTAGCCGAACCAGCAGTCACGTTGCCGTGAATCCAAAACCACTCCGGAGCTTCGCCGGAAATGGAACTGATACGCTCTGCAACGGAGCTGTAGATACCCTGAGCCTCCAATCTGACTTCTTCACCAATGTGGCGGCACATGTTACACCATCCACGGCAAGATCGATTCATCGCAGCCCATGAACCGTTGTATTGCCCGGTGTGCGTCACGCTGCAGCCGATGTGCTCTGCCACTGCAACGGACCTATGCCGACTCTGATTGCAAAGGGACAAGATCAAAACGCTTCGGCCAGGGCATTCACGAACGAAAGCAATAACATCACGCATAACACGCACAATGCGATCGTCGCTCACGCATCCATCAAGATTGGCCGCGTGAGAGCCCACATGCCCGCGCTGATCCTGCTTACCCTTACCACCCTTCTCAGGATTATACATCTTCAGGGTGTCGATCACCACAACCAGAGCATCATCCTCGACAAGTCCATCAAAAACGTCCCGCGCAATCGCCCTCGCCGCCTCATCAGAGGGGTCTCTCAAGTAAGAGCGCGCAGCAGCATTCCAATTGGCACCAACACTGGCCACCTCCACGTGGCCTTCACCCATTATGGCTTCCGGCAAACAGTCCGGGGCAACCATACGATCCACAATGTGCGGCATCGATTCCGAAATCCGGTACTGCCTTATCCTCTTGGGGAGACTGGGGTTCGTTCTCAACCCTTTACTCAAATTGATGACCATCAAGTTGCTGCCTTTGCACCTGAACAGTGGCAGCCTCACAACCAGGCCTTCGCCTCTATCCATGGTTGCCTCAAATCGCTTCATGTCTTTGCTTATACCCAGCATCGACTGGGCGTACAGGGACATGAGAAGGGGAGCTGTTGATTCACCCCCGAGGATGTGGGCATCCAGCAATCCCGAAACAAAGTGATCATCCCCGTTGGGATCCGTTGTCTGGATGCTGAATGGAAACCTCCGATCGCCTAAGGTCTTAGACGATCCCACCAATCCTCCGAAGCTCTTTCCCTCCGAAGTCTGCCACGGGCAATCAAACCCGAACTCCCTTAACTTCTTAAGGGCATCTTCCATCCACTTGGTGGAACAGACGCAACTGTTTGCCCCTTCATCCAATACTCCAAAGACATCGGGGTGTTCGTAGATGTCAATCTCGGGCAAAACCAATGGGATGAACTCGGGTTCTTCGGTCTTCATGGCTAGCATGGCAGTTGCGCTAGCCCCGTCCGATCTAGGTCTCGACCTCTTGTCCCATCGTCCTCCTCGCACCGATTCCGTTGCCATGGAGGATTCCCCTGGCGCTGATCGACTTAGGGTCAAACCCTTCTCAACTAACTATGGCTGCCTCGATTCGATCTTGCAGTATGGCATGCAAGTCTCGAGCACTTATCGCACCCTCTGAAATCATGTGGTCTTCAACATGAGTGCGAAACTCGTCGATCATGGGAACAACCTCTTCTGGAACAAGCAGGACGTCTTCATTCATAGATCGGTGAATCGATGACACAAGGTCAAAGGAGATGGATGATGATGCTTCCACGCTTTTAGCAATCTCCTGTCGCTTCTTGGCCTCTTCCTTAGGCATTTCATCGATTACGTGTCCGCAGTCTTTGCAGAAAACCTTTGACACGGCCTTGTTCGACCCTAACTTGCTCGTGTTCCGATGCTTGCACTGCTCAATGTCCGTCACTTCTCTCTCAACCTTCGTCTTTGTGATCTTACCGCAATCCCTGCATGTGAGGATGGTGTAGTACGCGTTCGTACCCTGTCTCGAGAAGTCGGTGCACTGCTTACACGGCACAGGCAACGGCGGGTTCGGGGTTTATTCTTAGCACTGCTATGCGCGGATTGCGCCGGCACTGCAATCGATGACTGGGCCGGTGCAGGTGGTGGTGGCATTCGGTCGAGAGGAATCTCTCGCCTTTGCACTTCCACGGTTTCATGATCGATGATGCAGTAGTTCTGGCAGTAATCTAGAAACCGCGCGAGATACAACGATGGAGATTTCTGGGTTCGGCCCCAAGTCACATAACCCGGAAACCGATGCACAATCTCATCGTAGCTAAGACCCTTATGTTGCCCACACTCAAAGATGGTGTCACCTCCTTGAGGGATCTGGCCTTTCTCTCTCTTCACTGGACTCGTCTTCTGGGGACTCGCGTATCCCTTGCCACTCTTGACGGCCATGTAACCCGTTCTCTCACTATCACTCGAATGTCCAATCATGATGCACGGGCTATCATCTTCAGACGAATCAAACAAGTCTGCTAGGAAGGCCTGGGGCTTGGTTGCTGCCGGTGGCGGCTTGTTCTGACTAGCCTGTCCTGAATTTCTACCCTTAGGACAAACCGGGTCTCCAGACCAGTGCCCTACCTGTCCGCACTTCAAACACTTAGACCTCGCTTTGATCTCCTGAAGGCGTTTCTTGCGATCCTCAATTGAAAGCTGCGACTTAACCACCGGAAACCTAGAGGACTTCCCTTGGAACTTCCCCTGCGACTTACCCTTACCGCTCGCCTTCCCCAGAGCTGCATACGCGGCGCACTGCAATTGCACGGCCTCGGCAAATGCCGCAAATGCGTCGGGACTTGTCGTTCCGTCCGTTTGTAGATCTCGCACTCTCCCATGCAGCTCAGTGCGATGGCTACTTCTTCATCCGACACTTCTGGGTCTTCTTGCACACCAATGTATCCACTCGGGTCAGGCTGATGTTCATACGATACATCGTGCTCTGCCCACGCTGTGTATCCCTCATAGGGACTCTCACTCTCACCGTGTCCTGGGCTTGCATCGCTCCAAGACTGATCATACTGCAGGCTGTGATCTCCATAGTAGGCTTGAGGGCTCCCTTCATCAATGGCTCGGTATGCGGTCTAAGCCTCTGCTAAATCCCTTAGGGCCTTGACCTTTTAGGTTCTTGCCACCCTTTCCGGAATTCAACATGCGGAACCCACGCAAATGCATCTTTCCATGGTGTTCAACCATCACTCTTGCGTAATCCTCGAATCCATTTGCCTTCCCCGCACAAGCCTTGATCATCAACTGTTGGTCAAATGTCAACCCGCTCAATTCCAACAGAAGCTCTGCTCGAAGACTGTCTGACAGCTGAATCCGGGAATCAAGCTGTCGCATGAGAAGCCACCATCGGCGCCTTCGTCCGATGTAGGAGACGACACTTTCGTCGGGTTGACGGGACAGGGGTCCGTTGACTGCTTGGCCACTACGGAAAAGGGCTTGGGCCTCTTGGGCACCTAACGGGAACACCATCAGCTTGATTGCTTCCACGAGTCTCTGAAGACCTCCCTTCGCACCCAAATCCGTAACACCCAAATCCTTTGCCTTCTGGAACGCGTCTCCCCTTAGACCCTCTAAAACCCGAAGTACAGTCTCCATGCGCTGTCGGCTTCAGTGTCTTCGTCGTCGTCTTCCAAATCGTCGTCTCGTCTCAACTCTTCGTCGTCGTCGGGCTGCTCTGCACTGCTCTCTGATCGCGGGCCTCGCTCCAGATCAGAATCAGGCGATCTACGCTTTGGGGATCTCTCCTTCTTTCCTGTCTCCGGCTTGCTGGATGAAGTGAACGAGCTGTCGGCTTCTTCTTTCTTCTTTCTCTCTCGTTTCAACTTCCTGCACTTCTGTTCACGCGCAGCTATCCGCAGCTCAGTGCGAAATTGCCATTCGTGAAAATTGGCCGGACTCCCATCGCAGATAAAGACACCATTCTTGGTGACTATTGGCGCAGCCGAGTAAGTGCTAGCTTGAAACTTCAAACCTGCGACCGACATGTCCGATCGCGCACACTCACTCTCTCTCTCCTCTGCACACACACTGTCAATGCACTCTTCCGTCCTGCCTCCCACCTGACACACACTGATGCTTGGGGTTCAGCCTTGCGGTCCGAACGAAAACACTCGCGGCCAAAGGTTCCACCGGAACTATAACCTCGCCTGCAAGGGAGGAGTTCAGCTCCGCTACCAGTTTGAATCTGAAACGCAATGGCTCAGCTATTTTTGCACTCTAGCTCAAGGGCCCTTTTGAGTCATAACGGCGACGGCGGATTCATTTACACCTATACAAAAGCCGCCTGCCAACTGAAAGCACGCACTCAGGCTATACATGTAGATTACGGGGTAGATTTCTCAATGTGTAACATTCAGTGTTTCACCGCCCGCCTGCAACCGAAACTCACCGAAAAAACTTTTCAAGGCAGTGACCCTTGATTTTCACCCAACACTCATTTGTAAACGATAACGACCGCGTAGCTCTGAAGATCCAGCTTTCGTGATTAATCCGGCCTAGCACCTACAGAGCCCGTTTAAAACCTACTTCATCAGTTGATTGAGGGTGTGTTTTGTCGGAACGACTTTGACGCCTCATAAACGCCATACCTCAGCGGGTGGCTACTGAGGCCATAATAAGGCGTTGTGATACAACGTTAAAGACCACCAAAGAAATGATCTCTTGAATTTCAGCAGTCGAGGGGCTGGACTGTGCCTAAGGGCTGAACACGGGCTCTATCATCTCTAGCTGATTCGCAACAAAAAGGCCCCAGCTTCTACTTGTTTTTCACCCGCCGTACAATTCTCAAAGGAATTGGTCGATTTGGAGCAGCCTCAACGTAAGCGATTGGGTTACGAGATCCGGGGCAGTTTGAAAACCGGGCACTTCAAACAGAAATACAGGGTACCACCTAAAGATGCTAGTAACGCTTGCTTAAACCGTGCTGTAGCTGTCTGAGGCAGTGGACTGCCGATGGATTCGCTCGCTGTCGAAGCAGCAGTCCTGACGCCGCTTTACAACCTCGTGGCCTCCTCGCGGCCTTCTTTGATTCCCGTCAACTCCTGCCACCTCCGCCAGCCCTGCGAAGCATGCGCGGTGCAGCGGAGTCCAGCCCATATGGTCCGTCGCCTTCACGAATCACTACAAGGATGGCGAAGATTCGAAACCAGACGGTGGAAGTCCTGCACATTGGCGCCAGCCTCTATCCTCAACAAGTGCAGCTGGGACTCACGGCTCTCAAGCGGACACAGGAGAAAATCACAAACTTCGAGGACCTGGCAGTTGTTTTGCACCCTCACCGTCGCTTTGGAAAAGCGCCAACAGGAGCGGATCTCCAGAGGCTTCGTAAGCCTCAGGGAAAAAACTGACAACGTCGGCCCGTGAGCTGTTCAGAGCTGCAAAAGTGCCCAGTCCACGGCCGTTTCCTCGCCCGGTGCACCCAGGGCATGACGCTTGCGACCCATGAAAGCAGGCGATTTGACAGCAACGCGCAGGCTTAGTCTCGGCACTTCCCCACTTTCCCCACAACCTGGGAGAGCCCGACCACATGATATTATCGACTTTGCTGGAAGGGCAAGTTTCGAGCCGGTTGGGCGACCAGATTCCATGCAATACGCTGCAGTGTATTTGCATCCGCTCTGTCTCAGCTCTATGACACTAAATCGCCACCTCGACTTCGAGGTCGCTGGCGGCCTGCAGGAACTCCTGCAAGAAGGAATTCCATGAATCCACCGGCGAAGCCACAACTAGGTAGATAGCTGCGGTCATAGACCAGTCGAGGAAAGCTGACAGGGGGAAAACATTGCCTTCCATCCTTGTCAGCCTTCCCAACAAATCCGACTTCAGCTTTTAGATCAACGCGCTGTGTTCTCCAAGCGCAACTTCCTACCTAGGTGCCGTCAGCACTTTGGTTTCTCAACTACCTGGCAATCTTGCTAACCTTCTTGTACAAACAAGTGTTTTGCATCCAGGGGAGTGGGCTGTATTTCATGCTGGCATATGCTGGCGTGAGGCGGAGTGGCTGTTGAAGCTACAACCACAGCCAGAGCAACAATGACAAAGACAACACAAGCGAAAGCAGCAGCAGCAGCAGCAGCAGCAGCAGCAGCGACCAAAGTCGCAACGTCATCATCATCATCATCAGCATCATCAGCATATTGTCTTCATCAACATCATCATTCACATGACACTGTCGTCATTTTTGCATGCTGGACTTCGCAGGCAGGCATGCTGGAAACTTCATGTGTCACCTCTGCGACACCTGACAAAAGCAGCCAAGTACGTTGAATCTAACTTACCCATCGCTCCTCCAACTCGGATGCTAAGATCGCACTCGCAGACGGCTGCGCGCCTGCTCGCGAACCGGGCTCTGTTCCGGATGTTGTTGCTGCGACCTCGCCTTCTCTGCGTGACTTGCTGCTGGAATAGCCTTGAAAGTCGTAGTTGCTAGTGCGTTTTGTGCAAGACGGCTGTGACGCTTCAGCCGACTTGCTCTCGCTGCTGGAGGATCGCTTGCCTGCGCAAAGCTCATCGAACTTTACGCTTGTGAACTCGCTAGGCCTCGCCTGGCCGCGAGATCGAGACACCCGGGACACCCTGGGGGACACCCTGGCCCCTGCTGGGGCCCCACCTGCAGGTGCTCAAAGGCGCTCGGCAAAAGGCGGAAAGAGTGGCCTCATGCCCATCTGCATCATGTGGGGCCTCAAGTCCATTTAAAAGCCCATGTTGCAAATGTCTCAACTCTCAGACGCAGCCGTCACAGCAAGCTGTCGCTGACCCCAGACCGCACGACCGTTTCAACCCACCTAGTATGCATCTTTGTGGGTTTTGGATTGGTTGTTTTATTGGGTGGATTGAGGTGCCAAAGTGGGGGGGGTCTCGAGCGTGAGGTCTGCGGTCAGCCGCTGCTGGCTGCAACAAGGCCAAGAGGCGGCATCATCCCCATCTGCTGCTGCACCATGGCCTTCAAATTCGCGGCAGGTGGACTGCTTCCGAAAGCGTGAATTCACACTGACTGAGTCGATGGCCATGTATCCCGGATGGTGCATGAATTGCATAAAGGCTGCCTGTCGCTCAGACGATCTCAAGACTTTCCTCGGCATGGAAGTGCAAGTACAGTAGTTTCGCGTCGACCTTTCAAGCCACAGAGGCTCGGTGCTCAGAGGTCGCAGTCCACTCGACAGTCGACAGCTGCTCCGGGCAGCAAGTTGCCCACGAGCCGCTGCCTCGGTTCCACTCCAAGTCTACCAAGGAAGGGGCAGATTGAGGGCCACGGCCCCACGGCCACGGCCTATCTTTGCCGGGCGACTCCTGGATCACGTCCCGCAAAGGGCCTGAACGGGGCTACTGCAACGGCTCTGCTCCGCAGCTTCACACGTGCCGGCCTGTGGGACGAGCAATGAGACTGCGGAATCCTTCGCTGCTGTTGTGGACAAGCTGGCCATAGCGAGCCCGCAGCGTAGTCTTCCAGTCGTGCCCATACAAACTGCTTAGGTATTGCTCCGCCTCCTTCTGTCTGATGGTCCAAACATGGACACTTCCAAAGAGTCGTCGCTCACGCCGGTCCTCACCAGCAGGCCCGAGGAGCCCCCCCAAAGGGAAGCTCTGCGCGTATCGGAGCTCGGTTCGGTGGATGTAGTGCCAATCCTGTGCAGAGCTTCGGTCAGCCAGGTGGGCGTCGATGTAGGGCAAATGGCAGGCCAGGCCACCATCCACAGACCGCAAGTCTGCAGCAGCCGGGATCTGCAGTAGGCAGAAGCGGTACTGAAGGTAGATAGGCATGTGATACATCGCGATGCCTGCAGCCACCAGCGCGGTGCGAAAAGGAATTCGCACCATATGGTGAGCATCCGGACGCCAGACTGCGATGTCGACGTCACAATCCTGGCAAAGGCAAAGAGCCGTGGCCAGCACCATGGCATGCATCACGCACAAGTAATGCAGATCGCTGAGTCCTGTGGCAAGATACCACCATTTCTGAGTGCACCCAGAAGTCCCTTGGAGGTGAACTCTCGGAACGCAGGAGGCACATGCGATGGATCATTCCAGTTCTGATCATCCTACTACAAAGTCTGGCTGAAACGGGCAGTTCACACCCGAGGACATCCACCATTTGACACCAAACTCGTCCAGCAACCCTCCGACAGTCTTCACCAGAAAATACACCGCCAGCGTGCCCTGTGCTGTTAGGCTCTGTGCAAGAGGCCATTGGACCCGGTCGCAGAGCCTCGCTCGAGGATCAGAAAGGCGACACACCGCAAGACACTGCAACTAAGAAAGGACCCACTTCCACCCGCGTCCATGTTGCTTCGCTAGATGAAAGATTGCAGTATTTCCTAAAAATCACGCGAAGCCTGAAACCTATGGGCAAATCCCATAGAAAATCTCCTCGGAATCCTTGAAATCAGAAGCACAATAGACCAAAGCACCGGGCGGGCCGAGCTGCTTGGCTAGCGTAGGTGGGGGCGGCTGATTCGGGAACCGCTGTGGCATTGATGAGTCAACAGGAAAGCGCCCTTCCAGCTTGGAACTGCCGAGCTGAAGCCATGCCAGGAGAGCCCAGACCGGGTACGCACGCGACAAGGCGCAGCACGTCTTCACCTCTGCAGCGCGGAAGCAGCACAGCACTGCCCAGTGCCCAGGGCCGGTTCCTGTGATGCCCTGTAGCCCTGGCCTGGCCTGGTCGCGTCCATCCAAGCTCCAGATCGCTGCTTCCACCTGCGGACACTTTGCAGAGCTGTGGGGCTATCCGGCGATCGGCGATCTCTGCCTGTTGCAACTCGTCCTGCGCGGCCTGCCGTTGCAAACTCGGAGTGTCGTGCTTCGCGACGTGGCGACGCGTGGCACCTGGACGAGCTTACGCTGGTCTTCCGAGAGCGGCCTGCTGCCATCGCCATCGCGGAGAGCCTGCGCCAGACTCGCAAAGGCCACAGCCCAGCGGCAGGCCAAGCCGCAGGCCCAGGGTTGCCGTGCAGCCAGAAGCACCTGGGGCTTGGGCCCGCAATTGCCACAGGGTCCGTCTCGCTCTTGGGCCCGTGCCAGCTGCCGGTGAGGCCAGGCGTCGCCGTCGCCAACAACTCTGCGCCCGGCGCCTCTGCGGTGTCTCGACCCTCTCGGCCCAGCGCAGCTGGCCAAGGCTCTGTCGGCTCTGTCGTGGCCCAAGAACCGGCGGGCACAGCGGCGGTACTCGAACCCCGCCAGCACATGAAATTGCTTGAAGACAGTCGCCTCAGTGGGCAGCGACCCGGGCCAAGATCCGTGAAAGTGCTCCGCAGCCGCGGCAGCATCATTCTCAGGAGGTGGTATGGCTGCACAGGACATCTGGCCAAGAGCAAAGATCAGGCCGTAACCCAACTGCAGAAGCGACGCCCATGAAGTCACACGTAGAAACCTGGAGTAGCCAGAACAAAACGCACTGGCGCAAGATCTATATCTGCGATACAGTATACTTACTTACAGCGTCATACGGGGAAGGTCGCCTTTGAAATTTTGCTGCATCTACCAGCTAAGAATGTGGAGGAGGCGCGTGAAGTGCCGGTGGCTCTCGAGCAGCAGTTCCACAGCCTGGACCTCTTGGCCGCCAAGACCTTCTAGCCAGAGCAGCTGCAGGAGCTCCGTGCCGAGGATCCCGGGCAAACACGGCAGCCGCTCTGAACTCGCGAAGGCTTGGGCCGCTTTGGGAACGTGCCGAAGCTCCGCGGTCTCGCCGTGCTCAGTCATCAGCAGCTCCAAGTCCCTCAGCACCTCGACCTTGAGCAACTCAACCGGGCGCCCGGGCCCTGTTCTGTCGAGCATCTTGTAGAAGATCTGCTTCATGCGAGTTTGCGAAGTTCTTCGTGCATCCTTCTCTGCCGGGCATCCCAAGAGGGAAAGGCCCGCAAACCGACCGAGACTTTGCAGAAAGAGGAGCACGATGCGCACAGCGCGCATTCCCCACAGAATAGCAGGCCGTAGTGGTCCATCACGCTGGCGAAGTCTTTGTGATGGAGTCTAGTCTACACACACTCGCGTGCCACCGCATGGACGAGCGGGCCGTGCCAGCTAGAAAGCTTCACAAACCTGAAAACTCTGCAACAAAGCTGCTACTACAAGCCGACGACGAGACACATGATTTCTGAATCTACAACAGGCACGTTTTGCGATTGCCGAGTTGAAGTCAAGCACGAAAAAGTGCAAAAAGATGCAAACACATTGGAGCAAAGTTCATGAAAAGATCTACCGTTGTACTCTTTGCGGCAGAGCTTTGCCTGCTGGGCTGCCATCCGCATGTACTCCTTCTGCTGCCGATCCCTGGCAGACCTTTCTGGGTCAGGCAAAGCGAACTTGGCGGCTCTGAGTCTTCTCAGGTCGCCGCAGAGCTGCGGGAGGACGGCCGTCCGGGCTGCGGTCTCGTGACTCTCGTGACTCTCGTGACTCTCGTGAGTCGGAGGCCCGTTCCCGGAGCGAGCGTTGTCTTCCAGAGGGCTCCAAGTCCGGCGGGCGATCGCTCAGCTTCCGGTCGGTCTTCTCCCCTACCCTCGGCAGCGGCCGTTTCCGAGCTTTCGGGGTGCGGACAGGCTCTGCACTTTGGCCACGGAGCCTTGAACGATCCCTGACCCAGGGCGGTGACTGGCGGAGGCGATAACGGCAGAACTCTGAGCTGCCCGCCGCTGTCCCTCGGAGTTGCTCTGTGGCACTCCCGGGCGTCGTCGCCGCCTCGGTCTTGTAGCATGAAGCCTCCTTCCTTCCTGCACTGGGGAACGGGCGGTTGTCTTGGCACGCTCGGGATCAAGGCGCGCCTCTCAGTCTCAGCTGGAGCCTGCACCCCTTGTTGAGCGAAACCCCGTCCCTTCGGACCTGTCAGATCGGGACCTCGAAGCCTCTCGAGCCCGCAGCACAACACGGCCACAGCCTTCCGAAGAATCCAAGCAAGAGGTTGCCGGCCACTCACTTGTGACTGCTCAAGCCTCTCCCGAAAGGCGGCTCACTTGTGACTTTGATTTTGGCTCACTTGTGACTTCTTTGACACACGAACGTGCAGCACGTCTCGGCAAAAGTGCTTCGAATCATGTGTGACTTCTCCGCCTTGTGACTTCTCTGACAAAACTTTGCAACCGCTGTCGGCGAACATCACTTGTGATTGTGATGCCGGGTCTTCGGGACATTCGAGCCTGGCGATGCTTTCTCATCCGAAGTTACCAATACGCTGCCGGGCTCATATATGTTTAAACATAACCCCTCGCTTGGCGATTCCGGTTCAAAGTATATCTTAAACACGCCCCCTCATTTGGCGATGCTACTTCATCATCTATCCAAAACACGACCCCTCGTTTGGCGAGTCCGGCTTATTATCGCATATCTTGAACACGCCCCCTCATATGGCGATTGTGTTGATCATATGATCTTAAACACGCCCGCGCTGTCATTGGACGATGCCTCTTCCTCATGTATCTTATACACACCCCTCATTTGGCGATTCCGGTTCAAGATACATAACACGGCCCCGCGACGGCGACCGGCGATTCCGGTTCTACATCTATCTTAAACACGCCCCCTCATTTGGCGATGTCAATTCGAGATGTATCTTAAAAGCGCTCCCTCATTTGGCGATGCATTTCGCCCGCTCATGGGCGATTCCGGTTCAACATAAATCTTAAATTTGGGGCGATGCTACATCATCATCTACCTTCAGCACGCCCCCTCATTTGGCGATTCCGGTTCAACAGAAGCATGAAACACACCCCCTCATTTGGGCTTTGCGGCCTATCGTATGTCTTGCACACGCCCCCTCACGTGGCGATTCCGGTTCAACATCTATCTTGAACACGCCCCCTCGTTTGGCGATTCCGGTTCCCCATCTTCCTAGACGCCCCCTCCTCTGCCGATTCCGGCTCAACACCTATTTTTAACACGCCCCCTCATTTGGCAATGCTACTCCAGCATCGAAACTACACACGCCCCCTCATTTGGCGATTCCGGCTTATCGTATATCTTAAACACGCTCCCTCATGTGGCGATTTCGGTTCATCACATATCTGAAACACGCCCCTTCATTTGGCATTTGGCGATGCTACTTCATCATCTGTCTTAAACACGACTCCTCGTTTGGCGATTCCGCTTGCCCAACGTTCTTCAACACGCCCCCTCATTTGACGCTGTATCTTTGCCACGCTCCCTCATTTGGCGATGCTGCTTCATCATCTATCTTAGACAAGCCCCCTCGTTTGGCGATGCTACTTCATCATCTATCTTAAACACGGCCCCTCCTTTGGCGAGTCCGGTTCAACATACGATTTCGGTTCACGATGTATCTTAAACACGCCCCCTCAGGCGATTCCGGCTCGTCATGTATCTTAAACAGGTCCCCTCATTTGGCGGTGCTACGTCATCATCTACCCGCCCCCTCTTTTGACGATTCCGTGAAACACGCTCCCCCCCCCCACCCCTCTCGTTTGGCGATTCCGGTTTATTTGTCGATTCCGGTTCAACACCTGTTTTTTAACACGCCCCCTCGTTTGGCGATGCAACTTCATCATCGATCTTAACCACGGCCCCTCATTTGGCGATTCGGCTTCAACATAAATCTTAAACACACCCCCTCATTTGGCGATTCCGGTTCCCCATATTCCTAAACACGCCCCCTTATTTGGCGTTTGGCGATGCTACTTCATCATCTGTCATAAACACGCCCCCTCGTTTGGCAATTCCGCTTTCCCATATTCTTCAGCGCGCCCCCGCATTTGACGGTGCCGGTTCCTCATATGTCTTAAACACGACCCCTTGTTTGGCTGGTTCAACATCCATTTGACCAAAGCGTCGCGCCCGCCTGTTTCGGCTCGTTTGGTATCAGGATGTGGAGGGAGGGAGGGAGGGAGGGAGGGGGAAGGGAGTCCAAAACCCATGGAAATGCAGGATTCTCAAGTGCAGAAAGCGAGAAGTCACAAGCGAGACAACATAGAAGTCACAATTTACCGATCTCCCTCGTGGCCTTCCGACCGAAGGCTGCGGTCCCGTGAAGACTGCCACGACCTACCAAGACCAAGCGCAGCTGAAAGTGGTGGAAGGCCGGCATATTAAAGAAACTCGAAGCATCAAGTGCGTGATGTCACCCTTTCCTCTCCTCTCTGGGCTCCGGCTGTCGCGATCTGAACCTGGGTCGCCAATAACCCTCTGTTTTCACTTCTGCGAAGCCTTATTGTGTGAGTGATGCATTGACATTTCCGAAGTCCCGCAGCGGAAGCAGGCCGTTATGCCGTGTTTCTCGGCCTGATGCCGCTGTCCTCTGCCCGAGCCCGAGACATGAACATCTAGCTGCCCTGTCGAGTGTCTGAAAGAAAAAACTATGCCATCACAACAGAAATCGGTATCGGTATCGGTTTGCGTAGGCAGCTAGAGCCTGAGGCCGAAGCCATGGTTTCCGTGGTGTTCGCGTTCGGTTGCGGGGCGGTCCCGGTCTCGCCAAGAGGCCTCAACAGGACGTTCCGGCGCCGGCCAAAGCGCCTGGGCGAGACCTGCGCCAGCCGGGCCGCCTCAGGCGAACTTCGACGGGTCTTGTACCTCCCACACTACACGACAAAGGCTCAGTCAGTGAAATGCCGACGCTTCAAGCATTGCAGGTCACCGGACCATGCAGCTGCAGCGCCCCACTACATAGGGGTACTCTGTGATGTCCACATGCTGCACTTTCCTAGTTCCTGTCTTCATGGCTATGTCAAGTGCTGCTTGGTCAAGGGCTTGCATCCTCCGGCAAAGCATCCGTGATCTCAATTTCAAGACAGCTTGTGCCAAGTGTCGCATTTTGCAACGACATCTACTCCTTCTCGAGCCGGGTTGACTCAGATGAACTTCAGCCTGGCCTTCAGACTCTTCTCTGACTCTGTCCTTGACGGTGAGATCACACAGTTTACCCCGAAGCTGCACCGCCAGAATCTGCTATGGTTGCAGACTCGCGTTGGTGCGTTTGTGCGATTCAGCCGAAACGGTGGCTAAAGGGAAGAGCTCTGCTCCTCTGCACCACCGACCGAAATGCCATTGGCCGCGAGACTCGAAGGCAAACCTTCTAGAGGAATCGGGTCAGAGGCCCTCTACCCCAGCCAGGCGTTCGTTCTGCGGATGCCGGACTTGAGCACGTCTGTAGCGCCGAGTGCGCAACGAAGCCGGCAGATGGCGTTCAGAGATCGAGATCGAGGTGGTGATCCTGGGGCTCCGTGCCAGCGGGCTCGGAAGTCGATCGGAGCTGATGCCTCAGGGCGACAAAAACAAAATCTCTTCGAAGGACTTTAGCCTGCAGCTGGGGCACAACAGAGGCTCGATGACGGCACGGTCCTGAAGGAAAGCCGCAAAAGCCCGTGTTACATCATGTCCCTTTGTGCAGGCAAAGCTCGAGGCTTTCGACCGCCTGGGTGACAGAAAGCATCTTTTGCAGCACGTGGTGCACGTCCCTGCCATTCAGCAGCAGCTCCTTGCAAAGCTTTGAACAGCGCGGTGGGTTTCGTCATTCAGCGGCCGAGGTTGTAAAGCCCGCTACTGAGCGGGAGTTTGCCATGGGCGCCGGGAGACCAGCATCGCAGAGTCGCGTGAGAGTGGCAGGCCTTCCCTTGAAGTCCGGATTTGCATCGCACGATAATCATCATGAGCGTAATCATCATCAGGACAGTCGTCATCATCTTCAGAAGGCCTCTGGCGAAACGGCCGCGCGGTTGGCGGCTCGGCTCTAAAGCCACGGAATGATCTTGGTCGGTTCCTGGTTCTCAAGGAACCATTCCAACACAGCAGCCAGGCATCTTCGTCCAATTCCGCCGTAGCGAGTGAGGTTTTTTAATGGTACGTGGAATTTCCTTGTCAGGATCCTTACCGGATGGTTGCGATGATCCTGATGCTAATTCTGCCGCTGAAGTCTTGACGATTGAGAAACCATGCTGCAGGAGGCAGCAACATTCAGTCCTTGCCAGGTACATAGTGCAGATCCCGCACAGGGATGCCCAGCAATATCAAGGCTGACCACAGTGAGGCCTCGTTGCGATGAAGTAGTGCCTGGCGCAGGAGTTGCAAAGAGCCTTGCGGGGTGGTGATGGGGGTGCAATGGTCGTCGTGAACACATCAAGGCTTGTCTAGGAGTGTGGAACTGTAGCGTCTCCTCGATCGCTACCGGCACGTCGCTGGCGCCGGCCAGTATGAATCGTGCCACGGCGAGGTGCTGCAGCGCTTCAGCAGTGCCTGAAACAGCTCCGGTGTAGGCTGGAAGACATGCAATGCAAGAACATTGAGGTTTAGGGTTCAGGGTTCAGGGGCTGAGGGTTCCCCTCCACCAAGACCGTGCCGTCGTCCATGAAAGTGGCACCCTGCAAGACTTTAAAATCGAACGAAGCCACAGATGTTTGCCTGCGCGCGCTTGTGTCACAAGGTCAGACGACAATTCTGGAAGGAGGCCCTCCTCGTGTGCTCGCAGGTACTTCCTCGGACTTTTCGCAGCACTGCACATAAAACCTGTGGATGTGAAAGTGACCCGCACGATCTCACAAGCAAAACTGGGAGAGACTCTTGTACAGATCCTTTTTGAAGGTTGGCACTTTCGTTTCGTCTATACGGCTTGTGATTTCCTCCGGCCCGTTGATCATGTTGCTGCGGACAATGTCGTCCTTGCCAACGAGTCGCGATGTGAGTCAAGTTCAATGGACAAACAGACAGTTGCTTCCGGGCAAGACTCCAAGAGGCCGTCTCGACCATGAAAACGACTCAGCAACCATAGAACCAACTTGTCTCGGGCATAGTCCATAGGAGTATGACCTACACTGCAGTCTCGGAAAGGAACTTTCAGTGCTGAAGGCGGGTACTACAAACTTTGAGGGCAAAGCCCATACAATCCGATACAGCTTCTTCAGCCGCGTTAGGCCTGCTGCATCTCGGACATCGGGAGCTCCCCCATGACGCAAGATGCCGGCGACGACCTCCGAAAAGCCATACGCCGCCGCAACATGCAGGGCCGTTTGCCTCAGGAAGCCAGGAAGAGGGAGAAACGTAGATTCAACTTTTTAATTTCTCTCTTGAGGGCAGCCGGCCCATCTGCAGGAGACACCACGTGCACGTTGGCGGGAGTCCTCAAGACAGGGCACCGCAAGCCTGCCAATCACTGAAGCAGGCTTTTCTGGACATTGCACATGGTCCTGCTCTCCAGCAGCACCCGGGCAATCGCTCGCTGGCGGTATTGGAGCGCCGTGATCAGCGGGGTTACACCTGAAGCTGCAGATGCTCTTCCTACTCGTAAGAGCTAGGGCGGCTACGGCGGCTGAGGATGTGCCCAAATTCAACATGATCTAAGCACGCGAAAGGGCACTTAGGGCCATAATGGGTCATATCAGATTCCATGTGCTCCCCGCTCCTTGCATCGTTGCTAGTTGCCGGGACCCGGCGTCCAGCAGCACCTGCACTGCCTGCGAGGCTGCGAAGCCTTGAAAAGCAAAAGGCAAGGACAAAGCAGGTGCCAGACCACCAGGTGACCGTTCTCGCAGGCTGCATGCCTCGAAAAATCAAGCGAGACCCAGGCCACCCGCACGGGTGCAAACATTGCAACGCTTTGCCCTTTGATTTTGCCGAGCTGCAGCGCCGTGGCACCGTTCGCCTCCTCGAAGCCCGGCATGTCCTTCCTGCTGCCCGGAAGACTCGCAGCCGCAGAGTCCGCAGTCAAAGGAGCCTGCCAGGACTCACGCAGTTTTCAGCAATCGCCCCATGAGGTGCCACGTGGGCCTTGGACCCTTTGCCTCCACTCCCACTTCGTTGACGCAGAGTCCTCTGCAGAGCCCCGAATCGCCCGCAGCGGCTGTGGCTGAGACTTGTCCTGTCAGGGTTGGCGCCGCCAGCCAGCAAGGCCTCGATCACGTCCGGGAAGCCTCGAGAAGCCTCGCGGCTTCTTCCTACGGCGTACTGCGACGATTTTCTTCGTACTTCTCTTTCTAGGCCCCCCGACTGCCAGGTACAGGGCCGGCGTGTCGCCCAGCAACAGCGCTTCAGGGTCGCAGGAACAAGGCTCCGACAGGAGGGCCTGGCACTGTGAATATGAAGCATAGGGGCATAGGACCTGCGGGGCTGCACGGGCTCCACGGGCTCCACGCCTGCACCACAGCCGAGTTGTTCGTATCGGCAGCTGTGTGGAGAGCCGTACCTGCTCCCAACGAAGGGATCTCTGGTCTTGGCACAAGAAAGGCCAGGCACGCGGCCTCCCTGGGCCTTCGATGCCTCCACATCAGCACGAAGTTCGCAGAGCCGCCGCACTACCTCCGAGTGACCCATTTCGGCAGCGAAGTGCCTCGAGAACTGGCACAAAAGCGTCAGCAAAGGTGCTAGCTGCTAGCTAGCATTTTCCGAATCTTTGTCTTGTCTGCCCGGTCACATTGCAGTGGTCCCAGCAAAGCCGTGTGGAGCATTGGGGTCGGCTCGTGCTTCCACGAGCAGATCCAGAGAGTAGCGATGGCCGGCAATGGCAGAGGCATGGATTGGCAAGACACCTTCCGATAACATCAGAAACCGAGATGAAAGGCCCGCAAGTAACCTGGTGCGCCTGACCTGAATCAGAGGTAGCATGGACGTCAGCACCGGCATGCAACAAAGCATCCACAGACTCCGAAAGACCAAACCTTGTCAACGTGGCAGCATCACAGCGCATGGAACTGAGGTAGCACCGTACAGTAACTGCAGCATCGACACGTGACTGCCAGGTGAAGAGGCATGGACCCATCGGCATATCGATGGAATGCGCTCAACGTTGCCAACTGCCTTGGGTTTCATGATGGAGCCCTGTTGTCTCGCTCGTGACTTGTGCCACGCGATCCCTGTAAGACGTAGCGAGCTGCCCACTGGCTTTTGACTTGGAGTTCGCACGCTCCCGCCGGAAGAGCTCGGCAGTGGATGGGTCCAGATGCCTCACATGGCCGCAAGTGAATCCAGATCCCCCTGTCCATTGCCCTGCCTGGCGGACGGTACCAACCCGAACACGAGCAAAAGCCGGGCGGAGTCCACCTTGCATGCTCTTTTGGCAACGGCAGATGGCTTCTTTCGAAGGTCCACCTGACCGTCTTGCACGCGTCGATACTGAAAAGCCGCTTCGTCACGACCTGGAAAAGCATATAAAAAGCGTCCCAAAGCAATCCGCAAGTTGGAGAGCCCTGTGGATCCGAGCCCATGGGTTGCTGAGGCTGGCCTTCTTGGCTAGCAGGCACGAGACCTGCTAAGCTCCGAACTGCAAGACGAAATTGAATTTTCCGCCCTGTCCTGCAGCGTTCCGCTGCTCCACCAGCACTTCCCAAGCTGGCGATAAAGCGCGGTGGATATCCTCCTTCAGCTTGGCCAGAGCTGTAGCGGTCCGTTCTCCCCGGACCACACGCAAGAGCTCTGAGGTTCGGGCAGGGCTGCTTAATGCAAAATTTTCGATGGCAGGAAGCACCAAAGCCTTCTGACGAGCCAGACTGCAAACCCTTTTATACCCTGGCACATCTCTGCCCGGGTCCTCGGTGCGAGCACATGGCAAAGGCAAGCAGAGAAGAATTGCCAGAACCATGACCGGTCTGGCAACCAGGAAAATTGCGCTAATGTCGATAACCTTGCTTTCTAAATCAACCCACCCGTGCAGAATGTATCATGGCTGCTCATGCAAAACAACTTCGGACGGAGCCGCAGCCGAGCTGCTGCATGAATGAACCACATGATGTTGGAGTCGTCGCTTCGTCATCGCTGAGCAATGTGTGATTGAATCCGACTTGTGGTGAAGCACCACATACAATCTACACACTGCAAAACGCGAACTCGAAAAACAACATACAATGTTTGCTTTTGGTGACGGCACCTCTACGCGCCTATGCGTTTTTGCAGGTTTCAGTGCTATTTTGGTGGTGTGGGTGGGGGGGGTGGGGGGGGCTCATGACGTCATCTTCTACTCGGTCAATGGCATACAATATACAAACTGCCTGCTGCCCTTTAGGCTGTTCGACTCACACTGGCTCTACTACTGCTGCTGCCAGCTGCCCTTGAGGTTGTTCGACGCTCTTGAACCCAATCCTTAGCCCTAGGTCAAACCTAAATCAAATCAATACGTTAAACTCAGCAATACTTCCTCCTAAACGCTCTCCAACATGAAGTTTTGCTCTGCAGCCTTTTCAAACATGAGCTTAAAACCCGAACGAAAACGCACTTAGGCCTTTGGGTCAGATTGCGCTCTCGCTTGCGAAACTCCCCATTCTGAAATGCCGAAAAAGGCATAGGCGCGGTACAAGCGCCGTAACCTCATTTTGATGTAGTTGTCGGCCCATGATCCACCCGAACCTGGTTCTTGAAAGCGGTGGATCATGGGAGGTGGGCAGCCTCGGATGCGAAAACCTCGCCAGGCTCGAATTTTCCTAAAATTTGTGAAGCTGGACATGCGAAGATATCGCCACGCTCGAACTTCCTCGATGCAACTATGACCCCGAGTTCCCCATATATGCCAGGATTTTGGGAATTTTGTGGAAATTCGAGCCTGGCGATGTCTTCGCACTTCCAGCTTCGAAAACGTTGGGGAAATTCGAGCCTGGCAGCGTTTGGGTAACTTCGGATGCGAAAACATCGCCTTGCTCGAATTTCCCCAAGATTTGTAAGGCTGGAAATGCCAAAACATCGCCAGGCTTCCCCAACATCACCAAGATCTCAGCAACTATATATGGCCCTGCGTTCCTCATAGATGCCAGCATTTTCGGACATTTAAGACTTTTTGGGAGATTCGAGCCAGGCGATGTTTTGGCACTTCCAGCTTCACAAATCTTTTTAAAAATTTCGAGCGTGGCAATAATTTGGCAACCTCGGATGCGAAAACTGCCAGGCTCGAATTTCCCGAGATTCCTGAAACCCGAAATGCAAAAGCAACTGAAGAACAGCCGTACCATGTTCTCATACATGAGCCTTCAATTCGTTCTTCAGAAACCTAGGTCGTGGAGCTCAGCTTTCGGGTTTAGGTTGTCAACTTTGCGACTCTCTTTGGGGTCTACCGAAATTATCCATTGTAGTTCCCTTTTTTTTGTTAACCCAAATTTACACTATCTATAGGATACTAACCATAAAACTGGCTAACCAAAAAGGGAACTACAATGGAGAATACAGGTAGAACATCTATGTCATGTTAATAACTACAGGGGCCTAATTGGAGTCTTAGAACAAGGCCGTTGGGTTTAAGGCTTAGCTTTCAAGTCGTGGGGGTTGTAGGATGTTCTGGCTCGAACCCGACGACTATGGTTGAGAAAAATCGGGGAACCCTGTTTCTTGGGTCAATCCCTGCAACAATGATCCTATTGTTTAGGGTACATACTATGGTCCTTCATTTTCTGCAACAGGTAATGTTATATAGGCAAAACCTTCGTGTTCAAGACCGCGAACCCTACATTCCCTAAGCGTTAAATCCTAATTCTTAGACTCTACACCCCCGGGCCGAATGATTTGAGCTACCGGTCCTTCTGCATTGCAGACTCTTGCGGACTGGCAGAGTGTGTGAAAGTGATGAATTCCCTACGCTGGCTAGCGAAGTAATTGCTATTATTCTTTGCGGAGGAGGCCCCACCTTTTGTGCTAGGAGGAGGCACTTAACAGATCATGGGACTTAGCAACTGGGGTTATAAGTAAGAGACTCGGTACTCGCTGGTTTTCTCGTTCAAGAGGCGCGACGAGTCGTCTATGCACGGGATGGCTCTGGTCCTCTTGAGGTCACAGAAGGCTACAAGCTATGGTTAGCTTGTGGCATCAATTTCTTGAGCCAACGTTGCGTTGGCGGGATATAAGATACAGTACTGCTCCATGGTTCGGCAAGCGATCCCATGGGCAAGCACTTAGAGACAAGGTACGCAAGACGTGACCTTGCTCTTCACTGTACACTGTACCACTCATAGCTCGAAAAGCGACACCAGAGAATCGGACTAGGTATCGAGGTCCGTTCGCACCCCGCATGAGTCGTGCCTCCAGCACTACTCAACCGGAAGATGGCGCGATCGGAAACACTAGGGATTGATCCGCCGCAACTTTGAAATGTTTTGAACATGAGCCTTGTATCCCAATAAGAAATGATGTGACACTCATCTACGTCAGTGACGATCCCCCGAAATGGCATACTGCTAAACTTTTCCTGTGGTTCACACGCCTGCGGAGTCACTCAGTCAGTATTGGGCTCTAAAATACAGTGGAGCAAAACAAAACATACAGCATGCAAATTAGTTCAGTACGGCAGCATACAAACGTGGTACACGTGTGGGTACAAACTTTAGCACCCCGCCTAAAGAGCGAGCTGCTTCGAGAAGCTCTTTAACAAAGTTTGCTGCTGCCCTTCCGTAAGACGAAACACAAAGTTTACACGCTCCACAGACTCCTACAGCTTCAGACGGTTTGTCAAGTTTCCAGAGCTCTGCCTCAAAAGGTCTTTGGCGCAACGCTACACTGTACAAGTAGCTACAACTAGTTACCGCCACCTCCACAGGCATGGGCTGCCTGTGAAGTGACTGCTTGACTGACCCAAGCGGAGGCCCTTCCAAGAATCAAGATAAGCTTGGCACAAGTTCAAGGAGACGTAGGATTTGGATGCCTAAATGCATCGGGCGGTCTCAACCTGCCCATTCGGACTCTTCAACCGCTCCACGGTTGCGACATTGCTGTTGTTCATTGATTCCAAGTATTGACACGCCAAAATGGCATGTATAAGGATGCCCTTGCATATTTGCTGTTCCACACCAAGTCTATGTACAAGGTTAACCCGCAGCCACTGTACAAGCTCCATCCAGCGCACCAATCCATCCGATCAGTGAGCAGCGCACGCGCTACCCACTCAAGGAATGGGCATCATGAGCATTATACACAAGTGGTCCAAGTTTCAAGGATTGCATATGCGGCATCCGCGGTATCCACGACTCTCAGCCAACCGCCTGGTGGTCGATGACACGCTGTTGCTCTGGTTCAACTTTCCGCATCCGGCTTTGGTAACAGTAACCCTGGGCACCGGAAACCCACACTTCATCATCGCCACTGTTCCTGGCCTTAGGCTTGGGCCTCACGGGTGGATGCCTGGCACGCGGGACATCGGCATCCCCTGCGCTGCTTGTGCTAGCTGCACTGCTTGACGGCTTCTCGCTTGCACTGCCACTCGACACTTCAAGCTTGACCGAGGCTCCAGGGGTCAACGGCACGTTGAAGTTCAAGCGTCCTGGCGATTCATGGCTGCTCGTTGGCATATCACCAGCATTGGCACTTTCACCACGTGCCCCTTCATCATCATCGTCATCGCAACTGCGCTTGGGCGGCTTGGTCATTCGCTTACTCCTGGCACCGCGTGGCGATGCAGGAGACATGCCATCATCTCCTGACGCATCACCTCGCATGCTCAAGTTCACATTGCTCCTTCGACACACGCACCATCCCAAGCACATCAGAACCATCCACAAAAACCCTTGCATGAAGCCTGTTGCTGCAATCGGATACAGCTGGGCATACTCACCTGCAAAAGTGAACACAAGCATGATCATCTCCAGCACCTGTTGGACGATGCTGTGCATTCCATCTGTGCCGTCATCGGCGGCGACATCTTGTTCCTCGCTGTCCGCTGCGGCTGCAACGGCATGCTGGCTCAAGGCGTGCGATAAGACAATCATTGCAACTTGCAATCCAACGGAATTGCCAGCATTGCCTTGCTGCTTGACCAATCGCACCAGCTTGCGCACCGTGTTCCCATCAAGAAGGTTCTGGAACTCTTCACTGCCCACAAGCGCATAATCATCATTGGCATCGCGGATTCCAACCTTGTGCAACAGTGCCCTGATCCGGGGTCCTTGAAAGCTCTTCGTTCCAAGGTCAGAAACGTTGTGCTTGCCATCGACAGGATGTACCTGGAGGCTCTCGCGGGCGTACTGTTGCAGCCATAACATCTTTGCCTCTAAGTGCCTGATTCTGCCTGCACCTTGACGGGCGATCACACCTCGGGCTGCCGCTGAGTCCAACAGCAAATGCGACTCGACCTTTGTTCCCAGGACAAACTCCACGGCATTGCGGATGAACACTTGGTCACATGTTCCTGAAACGGCACTGGCATATTCAGATTCCCCTGAGCTTAATGCTATGGATTTCTGCGTCCGGCTGCTGCTGCTTGGCAAGTGGCTGTTCAAGGTTATCACGCACCCTGACACCGACTTCCGATGCACCTTATCTCCAGCCCAGTCGGCGTCGGTGTGCGTCTCCAGCACGTCGTGCCCCGCCTTGCTTTGCACACTGACTTCTACGCCTATGGTGGACACTGGGAAACCTATGGCATAACCACTAGTGTCTCGAAGGCAAAGGATCATGTGCTTCAGCACGCGCAGTGCCCCAGTGGTGGGGCAACTCATGTGTTGAGCCAACCAACGGATTCCAAATTGCGCTTCAATCACATCGGACTGCAGGTACAAGAGTGTTCCAACCGCAGTGCGAAACATCGAACTCTGCTCGCCATTCAACTCTTCATCATCCGTTGGAAGATTGGTCCGCATGGGACTCGACTTGCTCCTCGCACGTGTGAGGTTG